TACTGTGATTGGTGAATAAGAGAAACCACTGGTGAAAAAATGAGTTATCACAGTAGTAATTTAAAATTCTAAGTAAAGATTAAAAGAAGAAAACATAGCAATTTGAACCTATTTTTTAAGTGAATCCTTTGAAATTAAAATGATTCCTGTTGGAAGCAGGGTTAAACGAAAGCCTGGAAAAGAAAGAAATGTTTTTGTTGTGATAAGGATAGGTATTCGGGGAGATTCCTAGCATTGCTTCCATGTACAAATGTGTTATATTCTAAGTTGATTCTTCTTGAACTGACTTTTCTCTAGTTCCTGATCCTCTTCTCCTATTGCCCTGTGTTGCTTTAAAGTTTCTGTATTAGTTACTTTGCAATGAGGACAACAAATGCTGTCATGTTTTTTGGGTTTCTTACCTATCCTCATACCTCCCTTGTGTGCTCTCGCTTTTATCATGTGACCAAAGTCCAATCCCCTTGCTGTATTTGCCCTTGATCTATAGTCTACATATGAGGGAGAACATACGATTATTGGTCTTCTGAGCCTGGCTAACCTTGCTCAGAATGATGTTCTCCAGTTCCATCCACTTGCTTGAGAATGATAAGATTTCATTCTTCTTCATGACTGAGTAGAATTCCATTGTGTATAAATACCACATTTTCTTAATCCATTCACCAGTAGTGGGTCATCTTGGCTGATTCCATAACTTGGCTATTGTGAATAGCGCTGCAATAAACTGAGCAGTAAGGAAGGGAGGCATCAGTATGAATCTCACTATATGATAGAGGTGGAAAGAAAAGAAAGAAAAGGATGGATAGAAAAGTGGTCCAGAGGGAATACAAAAAAGATGGGTGGAGACTCAATTCTGGAAGGTGCTAAATTTGACAGGTTTTATAATTTATCCTGTAAATTGTGCTTTCTTGTTGTTTTTGAGTATAAATATTATTTTAATAAATGCTACTGTCTTGTAGCACATACAGAATTAAAAACTGGATTTGCACCTGTGCTGATATCAGTTTGATCAAATTTTTGACATTAATGCATACTGGAATTTAAGTAATATGGGTGCAAAAATATTTTTGCATATATATTTATAACTGTTAAATTATCTTGATGGCTTGTTCCCTTTATTCGCATGTGGAGACTTTTAAAATATCTTCTAATTACTTTGGCTTGAGGTCTGAATTGTCAGACAGGAGTATAGAGACTCCAGATTTTTTATTATGATTATTTTTTGCTGTGGGTGCATTGTGACATTTAGAAAGGTTCTTAAAATATATCAAATATATTATAGTTGAATTCACCCCCTCCATCATTCTCCTTTATCTCACTCCCCTTTTTCTGGAATAGTTTAAAGAGGTCTCATTTTTCCATTTACATACACGTGTACACAGTATGTGTACAATATTCACCCTCCTACACCCTTTCCTCATCCCCTCCCCCATCCCATAGGTACCAACCCCCTGACAGGACCTGTTCTGTCCTCCTGTTTTCCAATTTTGTAAAAGAAAAAAATGACTTTTTTTGTTTGTTTAAGATGGCTTTATAGGGAGTTTCCTTCTGACATTTCCATATGTATCTTAATGTCAAATTTTATTTGCAATATCATTTTCCACCTTTTACTTTCATTCTGTCTGTGCCAGAAGGTGTGCAATTTAATCCTACCGTGTTTTTAAACCCAATCACAAAGTATGTATCATTTATTTGGAGAGATAAGGCCTTTGCATTTGGCATATTATTGAAAAGTATGTTCTAATTCTAATACTTTTATTAGTTTTATTTTTCCTGATTGATTTAAGTAATCTTTGCTCTTTTTTTCTCCCTTATTTATCATAGAGATTTGCTAGTTTACTGATTTAATAACATTTGAGTCTCTGCTAATTTTTCTTTTCTCATGCGTTTTTCTCATTTGTTTTATTATATATTTTTGCAAATATTTACATTATAAACATTTTTTCTTTTATTTTCTTAGTAAGATGAGCTGCATTTTGATTTTTTGCACAGGTAGATTGATATTTTTTATTGTTTTTACATTTATTTATATGTATATACATTGTTTGGGCCATCCCTCCCCCTCCCTCCATTCCCACCCTCACTTCCTGGGCAGAACAGGTTCTGCCCTCTTGTTCTCCAATTTTGTTGAAGAGGAGGAATAAGAGATAAAAAGAAAGATACAGCATTTTTGCTACTTTGAGATAAAGATAGCTATACAGAGAATGTTAAAGAAATTTTTATAATCAAGTGAACATGGATCTTTACTGTTTACATATTGTTACATTCATCAGATAATATTTTTTCACTATTTTCACATAATTATGTCTTCATCATCTTTGATATCAGGGAAACATTCCTCAATCAGTTGGAAAATATGCCACATCTTTAGTTTTCCAAAAGTTTCTAGAAGTCAGAATTTCCTCTTTTACTCTACCATTTAGTAGAATTTAAAGATCAAGCCACGTAGACTTGATTTTATGGTGAATATACAGAGCAATTTTTAACATAAACTTCCATTTTGGTATTCAGTTCACCCACTTATGTTTTTTCTTAGAACATGTGTAACTCAAAAATTTTAATATTCCTCTACTAATGAGCCTAACCTCAACTACAGATTGCTTATCTACTCACATTCTGAGTGTCCCTACATTTAAATGTTTTCTCATTCTAAATTGTTTTTACTTTTCAGAATTACTTTTGGATAAAATATTAAGTTCTCTTAATTCAAATCACCTTAGCAATTGTTCCAATTATCTGTCACTTCTTTCTAAAACAATTTTAAAATCAAGGTACAAATAAAATAGAAAGTAACTATTAAATTCAATGAAATGCCTTATTATTTTCAAACTAAAGCCCTGTTTGTTCTGTGTTTGCCTGTCCACTTAAGGGACAATCAAAAGTCTGAACCACACTTATTATAGTGGTAGGAAACTGGTTTAAGTTTATTCAGAGTTATCAAAATAAGATACTGGAATATTTTGCCTTTATTATAGTTATTATTTATTATTGAAGTTAATTTGGGGAAGTATAAAATCATTAAAATATCTATTAAATTACATGTTTCCAGGCCAGATGTTTTGGTATAAGGCTGTATTCCCAGCACTTAGAATTGGCAGAAAGACCACAAATTTCCAGTCATCCTGGTGACATAGCAAGTTCAAGACTAGCCTGGGCTACATAGTGAAACCTTTTCTCAAAAAATTGTTTTTCTGGGGTTATTTATCCTAGAAGCAGCAGGCATAGCTCTGCCCCTTAAACAACCCTCATATGTTCATGGGCTTGTACATGCATTGGAAATGCTCCGCCAGTAAGCATATCAGTGGTGTTAAGTACAACACTTCCATCCAGATGAATGTGACTGAAGTTGGCAAGGTCACAGGCAGGTTTAATATCCATGTTAAAACAGATGTTATTTGTGAAGCCTTTTGAAGAATGGAGGAGTCAGGTAACTACAATCTTAGATGAGCCAAGGTTGATGGCATTTTTTCAAAGAACTCTTGACTCAAGAAAAATGTGAATGTAGAATATTTATCATAAGGAAGGAGAAACAAATTTTTTTCCACAATTATATCTACCCTAATGAATTACATTATGAAATCTTCACTTCTTCTCTGTTCAATATATTTTTGTAGGAAAGTAAAATATTTTCTTGCACATATAACATTTATTTTATATTAATTTTTGATAATAAATGAAAAACAGTATAAAGTACTTAGTAATATTATTTCCCACATGGCTGTGTATGTATGTTTTTATGATTCTGATAGATTATATTTATGCATATTTGATTCACTATACAAATCATTTTACTATATGGTAACATAATAAGAAAACAGATCATTTTACTTGTGATGTAAACTAAATGACATGAATATTAAATTATGAAAAATAATGATAAAAGGGAGAATTTTAGATAGTGAAATGGATGATAAAATTTCTGAAGACATGACAAATATTCTCATCAATGCATATCCAATTACCCTCTTACTAGATAAATAGCATAGTGGAAATAATAGGACTATCTATGTTTAATGTCTTCAGGTTGGGTAATCAAATCAATGTAGTCAAAGAACATATCTAAACCAAGAGATATTACATTATCATATGGACCAAATATGAGGAAAGTCAACAATAAGAAGAGCAACAAAACAGTTTCATCATAAATTAATGATTTTACGCAAGAATAAATAAATAAACTATGACTTTTAAATAAGAATTATACTTGTCATTTAGAGAGGTAAGGAGGAATTATCACCAATTAAACAAAAATGGATAAAAAGAATAAAGATCAAGCAAGTAGGGAAGGGGATAAAAGAAAACCTGGGAAGCTTCTATGAAGAGCTGAAGAAGTGTATCTTAATTGTTGTATCCACTTTTATACACATATGTCCTGAATTAGACAAAATTAAATGTTACACTGCAGCTATGGATTACTAATAGTCAAATATGTTGAGTTAGTAGATGCTTTTCACCTACATTTTAAAAAGAGAAGGACGCTTAAATCCTCTTGTAGACTAGGAACATTTGAGAACATTTATATGATTGATCTTTTTTAACCATCACACTACAATGAACCTCCTCATACCACAATTGAGATTGGTTTTAATACAAACCAAAGAATTGTGTAAAGACTAAACTATAATACTTTGCTTACAGAAAAGAATAAAGATACATACAAGCACACACAGACACTTGGAAGTGTGCTGTATAGGTCTACCACGAAGAACACATTAACTCACTGTTAATATACACTATAGCTTTTCACCTCCATACTGTATCCACATTCAGGAACATGTTCCTTTGGCCTCAAGACTCAACAGTACTTCAAATGTACTAGAGAATATCCTTAATTATTGTACCATAATTTATTTTTCCCTTCAAGAATGACAGTCATTTATTATTTTGTTTATTGGTATATTCATTACATTTTCAACTTTGACTCATGCAAAGAAAGTCAACTTATATGTTAAGTTTATTGGCATTTTTAAAACATTCTGAACAAATTCACATCAGGTTAACATCTAATTCTGAATTTTAGGATTCATATTGGATTTATCATTTACAAAAAAAAAATTGCTTATCTTTTTCCATGTACTTTGTAGAGCACATTTTACATCTTTGTTCCTTAAACTATAAATCAAGGGATTCAACATGGGGATAATCAGGGTGTAAAAGATGGAAGCCACTTTATCAGTGTCAAAGGAGTGACTGGACTTCAGCTGCACATACGTAAATATCAAAGTTCCATAGAAGACAATGACTACTGTTACGTGGGACCCACAGGTAGAAAATGCCTTACGCCTGCCTTCAGCAGAGTTCATTCTGAGAATGGCTATAAGGATAAGCAAGTAGGACATAAGGATGATCAGAAGAGATGAAAGCAAATTAAAAGCTGCTAAGATCAGAATAATCATTTCAATTTCATGAGTATTTGAGCAGATCAAAGATAACAAGGGGAGACTATCACAGTAGAAATGACTGATGACATTGTAGTCACAGAAAGATGAAGTAAAAATCTTTGTGATGACTAGAAGAGACACAAATGTGCAGTAGATATAGGGAATTACCACCAGTAGCCAACATACTCTTTGCGACATGACGACAGTGTAGAGGAGAGGGTTACAGATGGCCACGTAGCGGTCATAGGACATTGTAGACAGAATAAAAAATTCACTAATAATAAAAACAAGAAAGAAAGATAGCTGTGTAGCACAAAGGTAATAGGAGATCGTATTTTGATTGAAAACAAAATTTAACATTTTGGGGACCACAGCTGTAGAGTAACCAAGATCTGTAATAGCCAGATGTCTGAGAAAAAAAAACATGGGGGTTTGTAGCCTGGAGTCCACCATGGTGAGGATGATCATGCCCAAATTTCCCAACACTGAGCTTAAGCAGATGATGAGGAACAGCCCAAATAATGGAGCCTGCAGCTCAGGACGTGTGGTGATGCCCATCAGGATGAATTCCTTCACAACAGTGACATTGTGTTTTTCCATTCAGTTTTATTACAAAACCTATTCTGGATAGACACAGTTAACAAAGTTACCTTTCAAGTAGAAAGATATTATTGATTAATTATGCAAGGACAGTGTGAATAACATATATTTGAACATTCAAATGAAGACTATTTGAAAATAAACACATATTTCAAATTAAATTATGATGAGACAGAAATAGATAAATTTTTCTCAGTTAAGGTGGCTTCACTTAAAGAAGAAATTACTTCAGTGTCTGTAGAGATTGTGTTTTCTCAGGTGGGTACTGATGTTTTATGATCTGCAACCATTTCAGCTGACAAACGACTGGTTTTTAAATGATATTTGATCCAAGGTGATATTCAGGACAGAAACCTTCCTATGAGATTTAGAAACACTACTAGATATATAAGTAGACGAATAGATATGTATATAGACAGACAGAAAGAGATATACACAAGCAGAAATGTAGATAAAGAAAAATAATAAAATTTCAAATGTTAATAGCTTTAGGTTTTAGATGAATAACAAATTATTTTACTCTTGTTTTCTATTTCTCATATACAATTTAATCATATTACGACTATAAATACCTTTAATTAAATGACATAGGTCATATTCCAATTACATAATAAAAATTTTGAATGACAAATTTCAAAGTAGATGCAACTACTCACATTAGAACAGCACTCAAAATTTCCTACATTTTGCAGGCTGTAGAGTGGAAATTTTAGTACTGTTGGCTAACGTATCAATACTAAAACTATAGGAGATCATATTACCCATGTTTACATGAAAAAACAAGGCAGAATAAATATTTACATATGTATATATATCAGCCCATAGCTCAGTGTACTTGGTGAGTAAAACTGTTAACCAAAACTTTTAATTTTAATATACAAATCCAAAATACATATACCTTCAGTTATTTTTGAGAAGCAACACTTCAATGAGGTGTAGGAAAGAACTAATTTATCCATGCTACACGAGACATATTTCTCAAAGATCATGTACATAATGATATTTTAGTTTATTTTTTAAATAGCAATAGAAACATACCTGAAAATAGTTTTCTTTATACATATATACATAAATGCTTCTGCAAAGAGAGCTCACTTCTTTGTCAGGGCTAAAATGGTAAAAAGTTGAAAACGTGTTGTAAGAAGAATGTGTGCAACTTTTCCCAGTCTCTATTCTATCCTCACACCCACATTCTATGACTAAAATTGGACTATGTTCTATGGTTTTAGATTACTTATGTTTAATTTTTTATAAAAATTTAATAAAATTTTCAGTTACCTTAAAATAATTTCCTTTAACTTATACATTTTTCTATGGAGGCATTTCCATCATACTTAAGGTACACATACCTTAATATAACAATTGTGATGCATGTTGTATTGAAGAACTCAGAAAATCTGAAAATATCTGAGCAAATTATGAAAGAGGTCATTGTCATTGGGATCTATGAAATAAAGTCTTGCAAAGTTTCCTTTGGATAAATGAGCATCCTATTTTAAAGGAAAATTTTATGATATGTATTATAAAATGGTTCATTATATAAAATTTTACCATCATGTAGAATACCACAAAATCAAAATATAATACCATACGGTGAAATACACATGAATTCACAGATTGTTCACTAAGTCCATAAGAAATTCTTCCAAATAAGATAAAGCAAATAATGCAGAAAATATATGCATAACCAAATAAAATATTCTTAATACCTTTAATAGAGGGGATATCAAAAGTATAGCATGTACTTACCAATGTTTCCTAAACAAAACACAGAAATAGCAATGACACATTTGCAGTGAAAATTGTAGTGAAGGCACTCTGAAGTGACATGTAGAGAGACACATAAATTCCTACGTTTCCCCAACATTATAATCCCTAAAAGTTACAAAAATAATGTGCACGTAGTGGTATCACTTTTTATGTATCATAAAGAAAATAAAAAATTATTTCATCTCTCTGTCATTGGATTGAATACAAGGAAACAATTTCTTCATAGCTTACTATTCTTATTGAATACTTCAATTTTAATCTTTTATACTATACTCTGGTAGTTACTCAGGTTAAACTGAAAAATGAAAAACATGTTACTGTCAATTTAAAATAGTATGTATAAAATTCTCCTGTCATCAAAATAGTCTTTTCCCATCTCATGTAATCTGGAATGAATACCATGAATAATTTATTGATATAAAAATATTTGGAAAGCCATCAAGATGAAAAGACTTAGTACAATGTCAAATTTTGCCATTAAAAAAAAGAAAACCTGGGGGTGGAGGTGGCCTAAATAATGAATACACATGTAAGTAATGTAGCAATAATAAAATAAAATTTAAAAAGAAAATCTATATCTCTTATACTTCATCTGTATACAATTGCATATATTATGGATATTTAGTTGAACATACATAAATATAAACAATTATATTTATATGTATATTAATATAATTAAATACAATTTTATAAGTATATATATGAACATACAATTAAATATTTTCTAAGTGTACACACATAATGTCTTTTTTCCAGATGCTTAGTTTCTCAACCTATTTGAAAATATAAGAATATCAATGTGAACTTAAAAGGAAAAAGTCCAACTGCTTTTAAGAACCATGGGGTAGCAGAAGTTGCAGAAACTGAGTCAGAAATGTTGACCTCCATTTGATGTCAATACCAGAATAACTGTGACCATTTCTATAAGTACTGGTAACATAAGGCACAATATGAAAACTTCTGTCATTGTTTACCTGTAATGAAAACTATCTCTTGGTTCTCCTATGTGTTCCTTAATATTGCATTTTTAAAGAAAATTTATGGAGTTTTTTGTCTTTTGAGACTTTCCCTGAGGATATGCCAAACAATTAGAAGATTATCACTAAAGCATTTCAGAACTTAATGAAATGCCAGGAAGTTCTCCACTAATTGTCAAGGACAATTTATAGTCAGCTGTGAGTTTACTTTTTTTTTTTCTTTTATTATTCATATGTGCATACAAGGCTTGGGTCATTTCACCCCCCTGCCCCCACCAACTCCGCCCCCTCCCTCTCCCCCCCACCCCCTCAATACCCAGCAGAAACTATTTTGCCCTTATTTCTAATTTTGTTGTAGAGAGACTATAAGCAATAACAGGAAGGGACAAGGGTTTTTGCTGGTTGAGATAAGGATAGCTACACAGGGCATTGACTCACATTGATTTTCTGTGCATGTGTGTTACCTTCTAGGTTAATTCTTTTTGATCTAACCTTTTCTCTAGTTCCTGTTCCCCTTTTCCTATTGGCATCAGTTGCTTTTAAGGTATCTGCTTTAGTTTCTCTGCGTTAAGGGCAACAAAAGCTAGTTTTTTAGATGTCTTACCTACCCTCACCCCTCCCTTGTGTGCTAAAGCTTTTATCATGTACTCAAAGTCCAATCCCCTTGTTGTGTTTGCCCTTGATCTAATGTCCACATATGAGGGACAACATACGATTTTTGGTCTTTTGGGCCAGGCTAACCTCACTCAGAATGATGTTCTCCAATTCCATCCATTTACCAGCCCAAAAGCTGAATTGCTGCCATACAAAAGCAATTAATAAACATCATTCTGAGTGCAAGAGGTTTTTTAGTTCTGTTTCATATGGATATATGAATTCCATCAACCATATACCATCACCTTAATCTCCTTCTCTCACCCTCACCTTCTTACTAGTATTCACCTACACACATTGTGCCTTTTTTTCAGTCTTTATTTTGGTTATTAATATTTAAATTGACATTCAAAGGGGTGTCTCAATGTGTGTACACTGTGGGTGTGCTTTACTTTAGTTTGTTCAGTCCCTTTGAATACTCTACCTTACCCTTTTAGCTCCCACTCCCCCATTTTTCAACAGTTTGTAATACACATCCTTATATCCTGTAATTTTACATATTATGGTATTTGATATTACAGATGCTCTATCATTCTCTTTTCTTTTCCCACTTTCCCTGAGTCCCATAGAGAAGTTCCACTGCTACAAACATGTTTTACATCTGAGTTGTATATGTTCATGCTTGTTTTTGTATATATGTTTATCTTCAGATCTATCTTCTGAGTATGAAAGAAAATATGCATCTTTTGTGTTTCTGACTTGCTAACTTCACTTAGCATGATATCCTCCAATTGCATCCTTTCAACTTCAAGCTCCAAGTCATTATTCCTTGTGGCTGAGTAGTATTCCTTTGTGTACCACCATTTTATTATATCCACAAGGCTGTGCTGTGCCTTCCTCACTGGGTCTTGTATGATTGGGTTTATAAATACCTCTATCAATGTGATTTGCATGAGTAGATTGCATTTCTGCAACTCCAGTGTAATCCATCAATTCTTCTGTGAGGCCATCCCAACTTAACTTTTCTTCTGAAAAGAAACATTTGACATGAAATTTTGATTTGCTTCTTTGCTCATTTTACCCTAGTGGTATCCTTTTTCACAATATCTGTGTCCTATATATCCATTCTCTATACTATTCTGAAAATTAATTCCACCTCAGGAAAGAAAAAAACTTTCTCTGCATGTGCATCTCATCTACTGGGTGTCACCATTTTTTATGTCACTACAATCTTTACTTATTTAAAACTAAGTAAACCCTAATCCTGGGAAAGGATCAAGTGGGTTCTGTTTATTATACTATTGTGATACCCATGCTGAATCCTCTCATTGCTGGTCTTAGAAACAAAGACGTGAAATGTTCTTTCATTAGAGGTATATGCAGAAGAGAGGAGGTTCCAGGTAATTAAAATAATAGTATTGTGAAGCTTTTAAACTCATCTTTTCTTTCTTTCCTATTGGACATGTCCTATGTTTCTCCCTAAAAATAATTGATTTGCTTAATGTTCATAATTTTGTGGAGCTGACAAATATTTAATCAAAACATGATTTTTGACATATCTAGTACCACATTTTAATTTTTTATTTATTTATTTTTCTTTTATTTATATGTGCATACAATGTTTGGGTCATTTCTCCCCCATTCCCCCTACCCCCTTCT